GGCCTTTTTACTTGTTTTAACAAATCAGCCTTAAATCGTCTTCAGACTGTGCAGAATGCTGCAGCACGTCTCTTATCAGGCACCAAGAGAAGATCTCATATCACTCCAGCCTCCCTTCACTGGTTGCCTGTAAATTTTAGGTTTCATTTTAAAATGTTAGTTCTAACCTTTAGGGCCCTACGTGGTCAGGCTCCTCAATATTTATCTGACCTGCTGAAACCACATTCATCTTCTCGGGCTTTAAGGTCATTAGATCAGAGACTGCTGGTGGCACCGCGCACTCGTTTTAAAACTCGTTTTAAAACTCGTGGTGATCGGGCCTTTCAGACGGCGGCACCGCGGTTGTGTCTCTTCGCTGCACGGACTCCATCGATTCTTTTAAGAAACAGCTGAAGACATTTTTATTTAGAAAAGCATTTGATTAATTCCTTCTTATGCTGTTTTTATAGTTTTATTGTTTTACATTGTTTTATTTATTGTTATATTGTTTTTATATTCCCGTTTCCTGTGTTGTAAAGCACTTTGTGATTTTTATCTGTGAAAAGTGCTATATAAATAAATTTTACTTACTTACTTCATTAGTTTGTGTGTCTGTGTCTTCGTCCCCTTTCCTGTTCCCTCCTCCTCACGTTTCTCCTCCCCAGCCCGTCTCCCCTCTCTCTCTCTGTGTCTCGACCCCCTGAACTGCCCCCCCCTCGTTAGCTCGTTTCCCTGAGCGTTCTCCCCTGTCAGCTCCGGTGCCATGTGGTGCGAGTGCTTCCTGTTTTACTTTGATAGTCTCCTGTCTGCGTCATGTGTCCCTGCCTCGTTACTCAGATCACCTTCGGCTGAGTTTCCTCCTGCGTGTTTAGTTTCTGCATCTCTGCAGCATAAAGCTGTGTTTTGAGTCAATCATCTTCAATCATCAATCAATCATGTAAAAGATCGTTTTTGTCCATGAGTGCTGCTCGTGTTACTCCACCCTGCTACAGACTCCACCCTCCTCCACTTTAGATAAGCATGAAGCGTCACCTTGTCCAGGGAGCACATGGCGAACACGGGGCCGTCGTGGGCTTTGATGGTCTTGATAAGCATCGTGTCTCTCCAGATGTAAACGTCTCCGTTCGTGGCTCCGGAGAAAACGAGGTCCTCGGATCGACCGTAACATGCCGACATCATCGTCTCCTGTTTCCCCAGGTTCCCAAAAATCCCGCGTTTGAAGGTCAGACCGCCGCCTGCGGGACGGGAACGGATGTTTACGAGCATCCATTTAAAAAGAAACGTTTTAAATAGGGATGCAACGATACCAATTTTTTCAAACCGATAC